CCCGCCACAACGCCTGGCTATTTTTTGGTTGCAGCCGTCACTGTTATTTGGCAGGCCTGGGCTGGATTCAAACCCTCCACCTTAGGTGTGTGTGGCTGGCACCTTAGCCACTTGAGCCACAGGAGCTGAGCCAACACAGATGCTTTTAAAAGAAGAATGTCCCAGGAGGGTAGTGCAATGGATTTTGGTTTTCTACATAACACAGTGGTCTTTGGTGAATTTATTGATGAAACCTAAAAACTCATTAAGTTCAGTTTTTGAAAACTGAATTCAGTAATTGAAAACAGAAAGGTATTAATAGCTTACATGACAACTCTGAAATGAATATTACCTGGTTCCGTGCTTGTCTCTTTTGCCTCACTGAAGGTTTGTACAACAGGGGGAGGGGAACAAACTTCAGCTGTGTTAGGAGTCTCCACTGGGGTGTCTGCATTCCCCTGAACTTCCCGAGCAGGGGGAGGATCCACACTCATTTCCTGGGTAACTGTACGGATTGCTTCCTTTGTCTCAGCTTTCACAGGGCCCCCTGGAGGGGCAGAAACCTCCGGAGAATGAGACTCTCCGGCACCTTCCAAGGAAAGGATTTCTACTTGAGTCTTCTCTGATTCCTTCCTGATCGACTCTGAGGGTAGCGTGGAGACATCTCTTACCACTTGACCCTGAACAGAGCAGTTTACAAGGCTGGTGAGAAGATTTTTACAACTAACAGCTACATCAAACATCTGCAGGCTGTCGGCTAAAGAGATGATTTTGGAGAAGTTGTGCTTGCCCACAGGAAGTCTGCCAGTGTACATCATTTCTAACAGGAGGGCAAACTCCTCGGGGCTCACCACCGAGGCATCGATGGAGATGGTATCTGTGTTGTCCAGCAGGGTTTTGAACAGGAGGCTGGCAGCGGCGAGGACTAGTTTGTGAGCCCTGAAGTAAATGGTGCCAATGGAAATGGTGCAGTCACAGAACTGCTGCTCTTTGCACAGAGTGTAGAGCTGCTGCAGCAGCTGCCGGCTATAGTTGGGGAGCTCCATCGCATCAGTTTGGTCCCGCAAACTCTTACTCTCTTCTTCTGGAGTCTACTTTGTGAGGATCAGCCCTAGAAACCCACAAAATACCATGTTGTCAGTTCACACAGGGAAATACCCTGCTTGAAATGCTACACAAATAAAAAAGGCCATTCACTCATTCATTCGACAAATGTTGCTCAACAGGGAGGGGCAGTATGCCAGGAATACTAATTAATAACGACCATTATAATCATCATGTGTTAACTGCATAAAAGGGACTATGCTTTGTAGGGATGATCTCATTTGATCCTCACAATGATTCAGTGGAAAACATGTTATTTTCCCATTTTACAGATGAGTCTGAAGCTTAGAGAACCAGCCTAAGATAAACAGTCATTAAACGGTATGCCATATCTCACTGACTTCAAAGCTGGAGCGAAACTACCATATGTCCTTCCTGCTCCCAGAAGTCACATGGAGAAGGCAAATATAAAGATGTATAAAACAGTGTTCTCAGCTTATTCAACCATCTAAAGCATTGGATGGAGGTCATCATTCCCTCCTTTTTAAAATGCATTTATCACTTGGTTTCTCTTGCTAACTGTTTCCTTGTTGGCTTTTCTTCCTCACTGTGGCCTCTACTGTCTGGAGCGCTGCAGGACTCTGTCATCCCACCTCCTCTCTCTCACCTGGTTTCAGAGATTTGAAGTATCATTAAAATGCTGGCAGCCTTCAGATTTATATCTCTGGCTCAGACCTCTCCTCTATAGATCTCTCCAGATCTACACCTCCCACTACCTACTCAACACCTCCAATTGGAAACCTAACAGGTTTCTGAAACTCAATATATCCAAAACTCTCCTGCCACCTCCTCCTCTTCACCATTCTGTCCTTGTTATTCAAACCAAAACCCAAGTCATCCTTGACTTGTGTTTTCCTCATAGCCTATATTCAATCCTTTATAAATCCTGTTGGCTCTACCTTCAAAATACATCCAATCACTTATTTACTTTTTTTTTTTGGAGACAGAGCCTCAAGCTATCCCCCTGGGTAGAGTGCCGTGGCATCACAGCTCACAGCAACCTCCAACTCCTGGGCTCAAGCGAGTCTCCTGCCTCCACCTCCCAAGTAGCTGGGACCACAGGCGCCCACCACAACGCCCGGTTATTTTTTTGGTTGTAGCCATCACTGTTGTTTGGCGGGCCCGGGCTGGATTGGAACCCGCCACCTTAGGTGTATGTGGCTGGCGCCTTAGCCACTTGAGCCACAGGTGCTGAGCCCCAATCACTTATCATTACCTTCCCTGGCTCTGCTCTGGTCAAGTCCAAGCTGCCATCATTGTCTCTTTAGCTGGACTATTTCAACAACCTCCTAACTGGTCTCCATGCCTTCCCTACTGCTACCCCTACCTCACCCTGCTTTCAGCCCAATGGTCAGAGTGATCTATTTAGCACACAGCCAGATCTTTTCACTTCTTTAAACAAAAAGCCTCAAATGGCTTCCAGCTTTAGAATAAAACTTAAAGTTCCTATAATGGCCTACAAAGCCCTGCCCAACCCAACTGTCATCAGCTCTCTAACCTCATCTTCTACCTCTCTCCCTCTTATCCATTTGAGGACACACTGCTTTCCTTGCCGACCTTGGAGCATCTAAGCATGCTCTGCCTCAGGGTTGCCTTCCATCCTTGAATAACTGACTGGCTCACTTCCTCCAGCCTTATCATCTACTATGGTATTCCAGTGCTTAAAATTCTGCTAACACAGGGTGGCGCCTGTGGCTCGGTGAGTAGGGCGCAGGCCCCATATACCAAGGGTGGCGGGCTCAAACCTGGCCCCAGCCAAACTGCAACAACAACAAAATAGCTGGGTGTTGTGGCGGGCACCTGCGGTCCCAGCTGCTCGGGAGGCTGAGGCAAGAGAATCACCTAAGTCCAGGAGTTGGAGGTTGCTGTGATCTATGACACCACAGCACTCTGAGGGCGACAAAGTGAAACTCTGTCTCTTAAAAAAAAAAAAAAAAATTCAGCTAACATAAATATTGTCTGTTAGTTGGTGGAATGACTAGGGAAACGCAGTTTGGGGAACGGGGAGTCCAGGTGTTCAAGTAAAGCTTTAAGGAGGAGGTGACAGCTGGCCAGTGTTTTATAGGACATGGAGGCACTGCGGGGGTAAAAAGAGTGGGAGAAAAAGGCAATTCTGGCACAGAAGGCTGCACGAGGCACGCAGGTAAGAAAACATCCTGTAGTGATGGGGGGAGGGTAAGGAACTGAGATTATTACCGGAAAATAAAGCAGGGGATAGGGAGTGTCAAGAGACGAGTCTGGTGAGGCAAGAGGGGGTTTGGCCACAGACAGATATAAAGGCCAAGCTTAAGAGCTTGGATTTTATCCTAAAGGCAATGGAGGAACCATAGAAGGGTTTGAAGGCCTTTTAGCAGCAAAGTCACAAGGTCAGATATACATTTTAAACATATCACCTAAGCGATATCTGAACAGAATTTGAGGAGGATAATGCCAGAGACAAGCCCTATTACTGGGGAAAATCAATAGGGGCTTCAAGCAGGAGAAAGCCAGGACTCCGGGACTGAATGGGGGTAAGGGAAGGAAAGAAGCAGGTTTCCTCCAGGGTCACGGTTTGGTGAGATGATCCAGATAATAAAAGCAAAGGCCGTTTAGAGGAAAAGACATCTAGTTTGATTTTGGATTTGAGGACCTTATCTTTGAGGAAACTATAATCTCACGTTTTAAGAAAAAAATACACTAAGGGTAAAAAGATACATTAAAAAAGACCCAGTAATTGCCTTTAAGATTATAGGTGACTCCCTTTCCATCCCACCACTATAACTACACTTTCTGACATTTGAAACGGACAGATAAAAACAGAAATGAAAACATTTCTGAGTTCTAGTTTCCAGTCTGGCATGTAAGGAGTTTAGAAGTCATCACTCTGTCCTCACAACAATTAAAAAGCTGAACAACCTGAAAAATCAACCCTTCTTAGATTTATTAGAGAACAAAGGCACAGGGCAAACCACTGTCCCTAAAATTGGAGACATAGGGAAAAATAGGCACACATGGAGGATCACAACTTAACAAATAGAAACCCATAAGCAAAGCCTCTATAGGAAGAAAAACTGAACTGTAACTGGTGAATTGCTGGAAGCTCAGTGTGCACAACTCCGGGAGTTTAATTTCCAGGGAGATCTGGTCAGAGGAGGACCCCACACTTCCAAGAGTTTTATCTCTGAGCTCTACCAAGTCCTCACAATGACTAGCAGGAAAAAAACTCCCTCTTGCCTCCTGCTGGGGAAGGGGGAAAGGAACCATTCTGAAATACATGTACAATAAAGCACTCTGTTCTTAATAAGGGCTGCCCTCCAGAAAACCTATTTTAACTTGCTATGGTTTTATCAGCGCCTAACTTATGGGGAGGAGGATCCAACTCCAGCTCCCTCCAGCTATCCTATACTGTAGGCCCCAACCCCAGGCTGTGGACCAGTACTAATCAGCAGCCTGTTAGGAACCAGGATGCATAGCAGGAGGTGAGCTGCAAACTTCATCTGTACTTAGTGCTATTCCCATCGCTCACAGCACTGCCTGAGCTCCTCCTCCTGTCAAATCAGCGGTGGCATTAGATTCTCATAGGAGCAAGAGTCCTACTGTAACCTGTGCATGCCAAAGATCTAGGTTGCTTGCTCTTTGTAAGAATCTAATGGTCCCAGGAAAAACCGACTTCCATGAAAACAATCCCTGGTGCCAAAAAATGTTGGCAAACCACTGTTATACCATTTAAGAAGCAAAAATATCTGACACCTGTGACATTCGCAGTCCAGGGACACAGGCTCACTAAGACTGAGACCTAATCATAGAATCACAGAACACTTCTCCCCTCACACCTTACTACAACATCACTTAAGGCCTGTTTACATCAGTAACTATGTCTACCTTTTAATAAAAACTACATGGCAACAGATGAGACCCTGTCTCAGGGAAAATTTAGCAAATTGAATCCAACAATGTTTTAAAAAATTATATGCTACAACCAAAGTGAGACTTATCACAGGTATGAAAGGCTGTCTCAACATTCAAAAATCAATTAATGTAATCATCACATCAATATACTTAAGAAGAAAAATCCAAAGATCAGATCAACAGATGCAGAAAAAGCATTTGGCAGAAATCCAATGCTCATCTGTAAATAGAATAAAACTCTCAACACACCAGAGATGGTAGGAAACTAGACGCTTTTCTGCTGAGACAGCTCACCAAAGAGGATACAGAGATGGCAACTAAGCATATGAAAAGACATTCAATGTTGTCTTTAGGGAACTTCAAATTAAAACAAGGAGATACCACTGCAAAACCCAACAAAATACCAAATGCTGGTGAGGATGTGGAAAAATAGGAACACTCATTCCTTGCTACTGGGAATGCAAAATAGTACAGCCACTTTCAAAGACAGTTTGGAAGTTTCTTACAAAACTAAATCACACTTTTGCTACATGATCCCGCAGTCCTTGGTATTTACCAAGGAGTTGAAGACTTCCGTACACACGAAGATTTCACATGATGGCTATAGTAGCTTTATTCATAACTGCCCTAATTTGGAAGCAACCAAAAAGTAGGTTTATTGGATAAACTGTGGTACACCCAGACAACTGAATATTATCCAGTGCTAAAAAGACAATGAGCTACCAAACCATGAAAAGACATGGAGGGAATTTAAATGCATATTACTAAGTCAAGGAAGCCAGTCTGAAAGAGCTACATACCGTATGGTTCCAACAATATGAATTTTAGAAAACATATAAAGTATGCAGACAGTAAAAGATCAGCGATTGACAAGCATTCAAGAAGGGATAAATAAAGAGGACTTTTAGTGCAGTGAGGTTATTCTGCATGAATCCATCTGTGATGGTAGATGTATGTCTTTATACATTTGTCAAAACCCATAAAATGCACAACAGCAGGAATGGACCCTAATGTAAACTATGAACTTTGAGTAATGATGGTATGTCAACACAGGCTCATTTAGTGTAAGAAATATTATCACTGTAGTACCAGGCGTGGGTAGGAGGAACATGGAAACCC